TATGATAACACACAAAATGAGCGTTTATTTAATTAAGCCACAAGCAATGCAATGTGATATATGAATATTATATTCCAAAATTGACAATCAACTCAATTAGTGAGTGATCGACAAAGTTTTAATTTGAATGTAGATCACATTACACACAATAATATCAAAACCCAAAAATACAAAATCGACCAAATTTTTCTTGGTAATGAGAACGTCCACTCATAAAAGACAACCCAAATTTTGAAACCCAAACAAAAAACATTTATTAGATAAAGGATCGATATGGATTCTATCCATTATTGCAATGATTCATTATAATCCGACCAATCACAACGTCAAACTGTTTAATTAAACAAGCAATTGTTGTTATAATTCATGATAACAAAGCAATTGTTGCCATATTTTATGATAACTCACAAATCCGTCTATAAGAAATTATTGTCATGATTTATGATAACACACAAAATAAACGTCCGTTTAATTAAGCCACAAGCAATGCAATGTGATATCTGAATATTATGTCTCAAAATTGACAATTAACTCAATCAGTGAGTGATCGACAAAATTTTAATCTGAATGTAGATCACATTACATACAATAATTTTACTTAGTTCGAATCAAAATGCTCTCCAAAGATTGAGATCTAACCATATTTGAATTGAAAAACGTGAGATAAAAAACCAACAATGCAAAACCAACATAATTTTTCCTGGTAATAAAAATGCACACTCATAGGAGACAACTCAAAAATTACAAAATCCGAACAAAAACAAAAATAATAAAATAATACAAAATACAACGAGCATTAAAAAATTGTAACCAAATCAATCTCATGAAACGACCTAATCATTGAAACAAACCTGAGCATAAAATATTAATTTAAAGAAAAATCAACAATTAAGTCCTTAAAATTCATGTGTAAGTATCAATAGTAAAATGAATATATATATATATATATATATTGTTTATTAATATTTCTATCTCAAATTGTTGTCTTATAGGTGAAATGGAGAATCTCAAAACCCTATAAATAATAAAAATAAAAAATTATTGATAATTCGGGTGGCGTTTTGAAAGCATATTTTTATTTTTTTTTAATTTTTTTTTTACAAATTTCATTTATAGTTTTTCTTCCAAAGATATTAATGAGAATATTCTTTTTGTATCTTGTTTTAGATTAAATAGTAATGTGATATTTTGAAGAAACAATAATTATAAGAAATTGTGAAAGTTAAATAAAAAAAAATTAAAATAGTTTTTTTACGACTTCAAACTAAAATCAACATTATATACTTGATACAATTTGCTATAAAGATATATTATTTTTTTTTATAAAACATTAAATTAAAATATTATTTAAATAAAAATTCAAGTCAAACTCATTTCCATTCAATTTCAAAGCACAAAATAGCACAACCATTATTAAAATCAACACCAAATTTAGGTATAAATTTTTACATTAAACATCCTTGTATTGAGCATGATATTAAAGTAAGGGAAATAAATAAATAAATAAATAATTTAAATGAGGGGAAAAAGAGTAATAAAATCTGTATTAAAGGTATATATAAATAGCATTTATTGTTACTAATAATTGTAAATGATTCTTCCTCTCCTTTCTTCATAAGAGCAGCTGCAATATGGAGAGGCAATATCTTCATATTAATATTTTTTAATCCACATTATAAATTTAATACACATATTTTAAATTTCTATATATTATATCAACACTAATTTAGAATTTTTACTTATAAAATAATAAATTTATTACAATAAATCTTGGTTACGTTTTCTTGTAATTTGGTTATATATATAAACAATAACTTGGATGTTGAATGATATTTTGTGGGGGAAAAAATAGTAATATATTTTTATAAAAAGAATTATAGTAAAAAATTCATTAAATCTTCTTTAAAAAAATATCAAATTTAAACTTTCTATTTAAATTGTATATTTTCCAAATGGTTTGTAGGGTTTTAGTAGATATTTAGTATTATAAAAAATCTTGAAAATATTATCAAATATCTAATTTTAATTTTTTATATTCTACTTAAAATTAATTTTATACTCAAAATATTAAATTAATATATATTTAGACGATATTATATAATTATTTCAATTTAATAATTTAATATCAACAATCCAAAATCCAAACTCCTAAACGAACACACTACACAAAATTAAAATAAAATCAGTACACAAACAGTCAAACACAAATAAATATATCCCAAATTTGCTGATATAACATTTATATAAAATATTTATACTCTCCACCCCTTAACAATTTATTTATTTTTTTATTCGGGTTTTTTTCATAACAAAATAATAATTATTATTATTATTATTTTTAGTAATTCTACTATTTACGTAACATTACACATATCATTCCAATTTACAATATATTACACATCAGTTTTATATTATACAATACTAATAAAATTAATTTAATCTTTTTTTAGTTTAATGATTTTTTACTTATAAGAACAGGATTTTATTTTTTTACATAACAATCCAAAAAAAGAAGTGAGTTTAATTTAAACTGACGGAGGTAATAATTTAAAAGAAAAAAAAAAAAAAAAAAAAAGTCAAACATATCTGAGTCAATCCAAAATCCAATGCTCTCCGTCCAAGCGCACGCCGAAGCCGTGGCGCCGAGCGAACATATGCACGGCTCGGCGCACGCCGGGCCAAGCATAGTCATGCCCAAACAAAACCCCGCCGGGCCGCAAAACCTTGTAAGCATTATTAATGTCGAGCCAAGCCGAGTGAAAGTCGTGCGCCGCGTCGATTTCAATCAAGTCGCCGTACACTCCCCACTCACACAGCCCCCCCAGCGCCGTCGTCGCCGAGAACGGCAAAAACAGCACCGCCGCCGTGGCGTTGCCTGCGGCGACGTTCTGCATAAACTGGTACAGCAAATAACTGTCGCCGTTCACCATTCCGAGGTTCCGGCCGCCGTCGTAGTACCCCGGCCACCCCCGGAAGTCGTCGACGCAGAGAATTAGGGTTTCGTCGAGACCGAGTTTCCGATTCAATTCCGCCATGTGAATCGCCGACGCGCCGAGGAACGTCCCGACTTCGATCACCGTCTTCGGCCGGACGCGGCGGAGGAGCCGCTCGAACACGGCGGCGTTCGACCCCCAGCCCTTCTTCCATTCGTCGAACAGAAGAGGCTTCGCGTGGGCCGGCGGGAATCCGGCCCACGGCGAGGAGCCGTTGAAAACCCGGTCGAGGATTGTTTGCCGGACCCGGTTAGTTTGAATCGGGCCGGCGCACCGGTTCGGGAAGGTGTTGTGATCCTGAAGATCGGCGGCGGCGGCGCCGCCGTCGGAAAATAGCGGATTTGTACGGCTGCAGAGGTATCCGAGGAGGAAGGAGAGGACGAGGAGGATCAAGTAGGCGATCGGATTGGCTAAGGTTTTGTGGGCTATGGTACGGAGTTTGTGGCGGTGGTCGTCGCGGCGGCGCGGCGGCGGCGGCGGGGATTGGTCGCCGGCGGTGCTCATGGTTTTTTAGATAGGGTTTTCTTGCGAGGGTTAGAATGAGATTGTAAATTTGTAATGTTATTTGGGGAAATAATAAATGTGTGCAAATATGTTAATATATTGTGGAAGCATTTTTTTTTATTTTTTGTTTGGATGAATTTAAAAAAATTCAAATAAATACTGTTTGGTTATTTTAGAGTTTTGTCTTAATTTTTTACCATATAAACAAATTGCAATGTTGTGTAACGGTATATATTTTAAATTATATTATAAAGTAAATATTTTATCCATTGCAATTTTTAGTAGAAATATATATTTTCTTAGTCCGTTATAAAATAAATATTTGGACGTTTTTGTCCGTTCCAGCATATTTTATTGGTCATTGTAAGAGGTTTAAATATTTTTATTTTTTAATATAAGTCCGTTATAAAATAAATATTTGGACGTTTTTGTCCGTTCCAGTATATTTTATTGGTCATTGTAAGAGGTTTAAATATTTTTATTTTTTAATATAAATTAATCGTATATACAATTATATATTTGTAATTTAGTAATATTATATTGGTATTAATATAAAATTATTTTAATAAAAATAGAAAAAACTATTTTTGATTGGTTATTCCAAAATAATAAAATGAATATATTTTAGTTTTTAGTAGTTGTGGATCTATGCATTATAAATACATATTCTTTTTATATTTATTAACATTAATACTATTCTTTTCATCCCATGAGAAAAAATATATATTTGAATTTTTATAGTAGATTAAAAAATATTACTTTTTCTGTCCCGTCATAAATAATTTATTTAATTTTTTGTCTATATCACAAAAAATAACCATATTTTTTGCGTAATATTTTCTTTATTAATAGAAATTAACTTATTGATTTACTTAAATGATATTAAAATAATTCAAATGTATATTATTTCACATACTTCAGACCAAAATAATATTATTTACTAAATTAAAATCAATCATTCGTTTCAAATTAATTTTAAATCATAACATAAACAAACAATATATTTAGGCCTTACATATTAATGTTGGTTTTCCAAATACTAAATATGCCATTATGAACCGAATTTTGAAAAGCTAATTTAAAAAATAATTAAAATTTTAATTAAATAAAAGTTTTGGCAAATATTTTAAATCTAACCGAATCTAAATTGAATATAGTATAATTATTAATATAAAATATAAAATATAATAATATAAATATATTTGATTCAATTAGAAAAAAAAAAAAAAAAATCAAAAACTAAAATCAAATTAAACGGAACAATATTTTTATACAAATCAAATTTGTTCGGCTAAAGAAAATTTTTCAACCATCCATGTTTCAGTAGTTTTTTTTAGTTGGATTCCAAGTTAAAATGTAACTCAGATTAAAGCTAAGTGTTCTATTAATTTATTAGACTTAAATGTATTTAGTAAATGTGTATCCTGCATGCAAAAATACGGTAACTTAATGGGATGATGAGACCAATTAATAATAAGAGAGATAAATTAGAATTGTAATCCAAAATCTAAACGCAATAACCATTACTTTTTATATCTTATAGTGGGAGTAAAGGCAAAAAAAAGCCCTAATGATTTTCTCAAGAGGGGCTTGCGCCATAAACCTGAAGAACACAAAACTCTCAATTGTTTGCAGATCCGAATCCGACAACGCTAATAGAATCAGTTTAGACCTATTAACTTTATTTTTCTATCTCAAACCCTCGACGCCTCATGTCACCTGCCCACACATGGTTTGCCTAGTATGACTTTCCCATCGAGCCTGGTTTGCAGGGTATTAGGTTCGGCCGGGAGTTTACCCAGTGCGGATTCCCACGTCATATAAAAAAAAAAAAAAAAGTTTAAATTCTCGTAAATTCCAAATTTTTTTTCCACAATGATTATACATATATATGATCATATGATCCATACCACAAATATTCATACAAAAAATTCATCAACAATCAAACAACAAACACAATATACATATATATATATATATATATAACCTCTAAGAAAAAACATATATCATCCTTACATGTCGAAGAATGGATTATACTTAAACCCCTTATCAATGCTGCTGTTGTTGATCGACAATCTCGCAGGTTGCTTCGCCGACGATTGCCGCCGATCATGCCGATGGACGACGTTCGGATGCGCATTCTCGTCCTCGTCATCGAACCTCGTCCATTCTATCGAATCATGTTGTCCTATGTTGTCCTTACACAAATCGCGCCGCGGTCTGTCGAACATTGAAAGGATAAGCAAGATGAATTGTCGTAAAAATCGAAGTATGAACAAATAAAGAAAATCTTACTCGGTGAAGAGCTTCTTCCTATTATCATCGTCGATTCGATCATCTCTGCGATGACAAATTCAAAGTAAGAATCGATACAAAATGTGTCGTAATAACAAATTAATTACTAACACTCGCCGGAAGTTATTTTTCGGCTCGACTACGGTTAGCTCTTCCTTTGCGTTAGGACAAGGCTTCTTCGAGTTCTCGGTTAGCGACAACAACATTGTTTCGTCCTCGGAATCGTTTTTCTTCCATTTAACCAACCGATTGAACCCCCAAAGCCCCGACTTCTTCATCGATTTTGCCTTTTCATCATTTCTATTTTTTTGAAACAGAGCATTGATTTTCTTCTTTCCATTTTCGATCGACTCCGGCGGGGAGCTTTCCGTCATGAGAATCGACTTCGATTCGATTTCTTTCTCCGTCGACGAATCAACCCAAAAAGGATTCTCCGTAGATGACAATACCGAAACACCAATTCGATCTTTTGGAATTCCCACACCATTCGATTTTTTTGACTCCAATTTGATCGGTACCATTCGATCTTCCTTTAGGTCTATAAAAGACCAATCTTTATCGCAAATTTGTGTCCCAATTATTACATCCTTCGTCCCGATCACAGCTCCTTGCACCGCTAGCCTCTGCAACAACGGCCTCTTCGACGAATGGTACTCGTCCTCCGATATGCATTTAGCCAAGAACAACTCCTACATTTATGTAACAACATCCTTACAAAAAAATCTCGAAATGAAATAAATGGTTAGATTTTTATTCCCTTTACCTGTAAGAAAATGAGTTTGTCCCTTAATACCGGCGGCGGCTCGTGGTCGACCGGCGGCGGCGTGAGGATGGTCTCGAGGAGATGTGTACGGAAAGACGAAACGTCGTCGTTGGGAATGATTCCTTCGTTGGATAGACCGATTAAATTGAGGATCTGGTGGAAGGATTCCTGCTGCCATTTGAGGTTGTCGGACTGCTGCTTGGAGAGGCGGTGCTCTGCCGCGGCAATCGCCGGCATACGACGGTGCTTTTTGAAGGGGAAAGGGAGGATGGTTTTGCAGATGGAGGTGATGGAGTCGTGGAGGGAGGTGTAGTAGGTGGGGGTGTATGTGTACACCATTTTCGTCTTCCTTGAAGCTCTGGTTTCGATTCAGTTAGGGTTTTGGGGAGATCTGGGATGTTCTGTTTTGTATGATGTTTTCTTTTTTTTTTTTTAATCTTTTTGTTTTTGAGGTTTTATAGATTGGATGTTTGCAGAGGAATTGGTGTTAGGAGCCTTTTTGACTTATGGGCTGTGGCGGTTGAACGGTAAGAAGATGGGAACTAGCCGTTGGGATTTTTGAACGTTGGTTCGCGGTGATACTGGAACGACGACGTTTTAATGTGTGTACTGTTGTCTAACGTATTAAAGGGGTTCATACGTATGGGCTTTATGGCCACTAACTGCACTGGAATTTGAGAGGAAATATTGGGCTTTGGCCCAATAATCTGTAGTTACTTTACATAAACAAATTTACAATATATATAAATATAAACTCCCTATACTCCCTACGCTACCGTGCAAGATTGTCGGTTACCTTTTGCAAGTAAATTTTTTAATATTAGTGTTATAATTGATTGTAATGAAAATGACAAAAATATTTATATTAGTATTGTGTAATATAAAAGTAATGACATTTGTGTAATATTAATGTAAGTTGGAATGATATTTATTATGTTAGGTACGTAATAGTAACATTGTTTTTAAGACGACAAAAATGAAAATGATTACCCTTTTAACAAAAAAAAATAAAAAAATAAAAAAAAAATAAAAAGATTTAAGCACATTTTTTAGGAGGCAAAACTGACTCAAATAGTTGACATACACGCCAGGGGTAAAGTGGTAAATCACCATTTATCGTGCCCTCCTTCAATCTGAAAAATCAAAGACGAACTAACTCAAAAAGAGGTGGCATGAAGCTGAATAACTGTTGTATATATTAAATTTTATTTTATATCGTGCCCTCCTTCAATTTATCGTGCCCTTCTTCAATTTAAAAAGTAGTGTAATAACATTTTTGTTTTTACTTTTTGACGTAAAAGTAACGATGTGATGTAAAACAAGGATATTTTTGAAGAAAAGTGAGGTATTTAATGAAATATTTACTTTGTAATTAAACATTTCAAAATAAAAATATGTATACTTTCTAACTAGACGGATGAAGTATTTTTTATTAAAAAATAAAATATTACCTCCATCAGGCTTTAAGAGTTCTAATTACTTTTTGCGTGTTAATTTTTGAATATTAATTATTATATCAAAAAATGTAGTTCAAATTAAGAAAAATTTATAAAAATTAAAAAAAAAATTGCAAAAATACTTCTACTAATGTCTTATAATACTAATAAAATGAGATTTGTACAACAATATTATAAAAAATATTAAATACAATAATACAAAAGATAAATACGAGGGACAAAAAGAGTATTGAAATATGAATATTTTTAAATGAAAAAAAAAAAGAAAAAAAGAAAATTGGGGGTTTAATATTTTTGGTGCGAGTAAAGTGAGTGTTTGTGTAAAAGGCGAGTAAAGTCACCCATCCTTGTCCGGCTGACTCACTCCGTTACGTTACTTTACCTTACCTGCGATGTCATCAAATCCAACTTGTCTAAAATTTCTCCCTACCCTACCCCTACCCTAACCCACCCCCCCCCCCCCCCCCCAACCCAACCCTATCCTTATCCATAAACACACACGGACACGGCCACTACACGCCCAGCAAACACCAAACACCTACAAATACATACATACATACATAAATACATATATATATATATATTACATTCCCAATCCTTAATTCCCACAAACCCACTTTCCAAACTCCACACAAAAATCAAATTCTAGTAATATATAATTATACAATGGACAGGTCTCAACAAAACCCATTCATCCCCGCTGGCGATGACGTCGACGAAGCATCCTCCGCCGCCCCATGCGGCGGCTGTTCCCGTCTCTTCTGCTGCGGCGCTGACACCTGGATTCCGGCGAAAGTCCGGGACCTGACGGAAATGGCGGCGGGGCCAAAATGGAAGAATCTGATAAGAAAATTTGGCCGGAAATGCAATCCGAGGAGACATACCGCCGGCGCCGGCGCGCAGTTTCAGTACTCGCCGGAGAGCTACGCCCTTAACTTCGCCGGCGATGAAGACGCTGCTCTTCTGCACAGCTTCTCGACCAGATACGCACCGGCGCCGGCCGGCGCCGATGGAGATCGGCATCGGAGAACTGATCTGTGATGATTGTATTGCAGTATTGTATTAATTAATTGATTTTGTATAATTGGATTTGATTATGTATGCTCAAATTAATTAATTGATTAATTTGAAATATAATTTGAGGTATAAAAATAGGTATTGGGTTTAAGGAGAGATGTTGATGAATACGTGGATGGTTCGATTGTTTCAATAATAATATTATTATTATTTCTAATGGACACGGTTTATCGAATTAATTTGGTGGAAGCTTCGACAGTTGCCAAGAAATCAGCACGTGTTTAATTAAATAATAGGGAGAAAATAAAATTTTATATAATAAAATATAAAATATGAAAAAAAAAAAAAAAAAACATAAAAGGCACACTTTAGATTTAAACCGATGCAAATATTGATTTTTCTGAAAACAAATTGTCTTAAATCATTTTTCAAATTAATTATTCCAACAGCATTTTTAAGCTTAGAATAGTTTCAATTAAATTGCTTTACATATAAAATAAGATTATTTATGTAATTTTCACGTTAAACTTTCGCTAATACGAGATTATTTTTATTTTTTAGATAATATGAAAATTTGTAATCGCTACTCGTTGAGTGTCCTCTGGATTGCAAACTATACCAACAAAGACAAATTATACTAAATGAACCATGTGTGACAGGTGGACCTGAAAATATCAAAAATTTGAACTCATAATCTCACGATTACGAGTTCACCCCTATACTACTGGACATATTAATCCTTCTAGAGTTTATATATATATTATTATTGTCTAAGTACATTATAAAGGTAAGCACAAATCACATTTATTAATCGCATATTAAGATTCTTTTGGACGACAAAGTGCACTAAGTAATTAAATGTTTTTATGATCATGATAAGCGAATACGTCTATTCAATATCAATGTTCAATTTCTAAAAAAAAAAATAGAAAAAAAAACATGGATTATAAGACTAAAAGCTTTTCGTTTATTCAAATCGGATTGTATTTTTTCATTTTGGTCAATAATTTATTTTCTAATATTTATCAACTTATTTTGATTTATAATAGTCGTAATTTTCTATATATCAAGTGCTATGTACATGCAAAAACATTATTAAATAATTATTTTCTTTTTGTTCCAAATTTTTTAATGGTGATATAATTAATTGAAGTTTCTTTTTAGATATATAATTACGGTTAATATATTCACTAGTATTCTCAATTTTATTCTTTCGTGAAATTTTATCTTTAGAATTAAAATCAAATATTTATTTTTTATTTATTATATTAAATTAAAATTTAATTGTGTATTTAAAATATCATATCAATACATATTTATATTATATCAAATAACTATTTAAATTCAAAATTTTATAATTCAAAATCCAAACCCAAAACTCCACGAATAAACACACGAAAAAACATAAGTATAAATTGAGCCAAATATTCGTATGTTAATTTATGCAATTAGTTTAATTTAATTTTGGATGTACCTATCTTTCATACGTGGGCAACTAATAAAAGTAATTATTTATATTTATATTTATATTTTTACTTTTAATAAAAGTAATTAGTTAGTGAGTGAGATACAAGTGGAAAGAGTGTTGACTGAGTCACGCAGGTAAAAAGGTGACAAGTAGTCAAAACCCAACCTTATCCACTTCCTTCTAGAACATTGATCATATGAATATCCACCTCATGCAATCAAATCTTGGATGACATGATACCGTCTGCTACACTGTAATTACGGTATTTTAAAATAAATATAATTAGTAGATAATTAAAAATATATTAGTAAAAATAATTATTTTATAATATAAATGGTTATAAATTAAGATTAAGATAACTAATTAGTTTAATTAAAATTAAAAAAAAATTAAAAAATTTAAAATGAGATTAAAGTGTGTCATTTTTTTTTAAAAAAAAGAAAGTGACATGGTATTGGGACGGACAGAAATGACAATGTGAACATGGTATCTGGGATGGGACGAATGGAGTATTTTATTACATACTTAGCCATTCCAGTGCCATTTGAAATCATGCGGCCGTTGCTACATTCCTCCCATTTTTTTTTTAATTTTTTAATTTATTTTTTAAATTTATTTTCTATTTTTCTAAATTTTTAAAAAAATTATTTTAAATTATAAAAATAAAAAATTATTTAAAATAATTAAAAAAATTGAATATGTGAAGAATAATAGTGAAAAATAGAGTTATAATTAAAGTAAAATTACTGTAACAAGTGCATATTTAGAGTTAAAACTATATAAATGGAGTTGATGAATTGGAAATGACTTTACGAGACTGTTTAATTTAATACTGATTGTTTAATTTAATACTATTACACTTCACGCAATAAATAAAATATAAATTATTTTGTGCATATTTTTGTTAAACTACAAGTATTATATAATTTATTGTATTCTAAAAATATATATTATTTATAAGTAGTATAAAAAAAATTAAAATATTTTTGTAAATTAGAGTCCAAATATTTCTGTTTAGTTATGTTTGAAATTGACGGTTAATTTGAGTTTTTATTTAAATACTACTCCCTCGTCTCGGCTACAGTGTCTCTTTTATTGTAGATACAAAAATTTAGAAGGTGTATATTTAGTAAATAATTAAAAATGTATTAGTGAAAATAATTATAGTATAATAAAATTAATTTTAGGTTAAAATTAAGATAACTAATTAGCCTAATTAAAATTTAAAAAATTATAAATTTAAAAAGTAAATATATACTTTTTGTTTGGACGGATGAAATATTAAAATTACAAGTGTAGTATAAATTTGCTGAAATATGAAGTCGGGCCCAGGCTGCTTTGATCTGGGCTCATTTCATCAAACTTGGACCCAAGTTAAATAGTGGGCCTAACTTGCCCAAATTAATACTTGTTTCTCCATATATATATATATATATATATATATATTTTAGTTAGGGTGGTTTTGATTTAAGATTGCCTATTTTATTTTTATTTGAATTGGAATTTAAATATTATTTTAGATAGTATTTTTATATAT